GTAGGCTTGCAATATCACACTTCTCATCAATGGCAGAATATATACCAATATAGTACAATACGCTAGTACATGGTAAGATCGGGGGTTGCTAACATAGAAACTAGATGGTAACGACATGTACAGTAGGTTCGGCAGTCTCGCTAGTCGCAAAAGTTTAAGGTCTGGTTGCAACTAGTGGGCTGCTGCGAAACGCTGCAAGGCTGAAGCGAAGGGATCTGCCCGCCCTGCGGAGGACAGTCCACTACCGATCCGCCATACCCTGAAATGCTTCTGGAATGCCTGGGCTCGAGAATCTAAAGAAACAGGGAGGGAAGAAGTCTGGAAGAAGTCTGCCTGTGCGGGTTTCTTATAATGCAAGGCTCATCCAGAACTGATGCAGGAAGGAGTGCAGGTTTCAGGGGCAGTGTTTGTTAAGACAGCCGTGTGTGCAGGGCATGAGGCAGCCCGTATGTCAATTATTGGCGCACAAAGATATTGAGTTTTCCATGAATGACATGAGGGCCAACCCCGTGCAAATCAAACGAAATACATTGGTCGATGGTGTAGGTTGTGGACAGCCATACTGAAGCCGTGGCCGACAACCGTGCTCAGTGACTGCCCACAAGACCATCGACCCCAGGCATCGCAATATTCATTGGGCGGCCCTAAAGCTCGACGTCCATTTCTTCGTCGCAGTCTTGCTCGCCCAAAGACTGGACTTACAGCCTTTCCTTGCAGTTTTGCCCGCCACAAGCCACAAGCATTGACTCGCTACTGCGTTCCGGTGCCTCCTAAAGCTTTAGGCCCCGAATTTGACTTGCAAGTTCTCTTTGTCGTGTTGCTCCTCTGGGCCTGACTTCCATCTTCTATTCGTCCCCCAACTCAACTCGTCCAAGGGCTTTTGCTTCAGCCGAACCCGTGCCACAATCTGGACGCAGGAGCCCATGAAGCCTGTGCCACTTGCAGAGGCCCTGTAGCGTGGTGCCATTCTGTCGCAAGCTCTTGCACTTGAGCGCAGGGCTACATTGGTGCAAAGATCTTCACAGTCGGAGATCGAGTTCTGATCACAGGCTAGTACCAGACATGGAGCTTTAGGCAGCATGGATTAGTGATTAGACTGAGGACTGCTCCAGCATGCGAGCTTTAGCGGTCATGCGGGCACCATCATCTCGCTGCATCAAGAGTCGCATCGTCAGGCTCTCAGCCACAACAATCTGCGATTTTCATTTCCCGCTGCAAGCCAGCTTTGCAGCATCACAGTGCTTTCCAGAGGCTACTGCGTTCAACTGGCACCACAACAGGTAGCCAAGCTCAAAGCCGAGAATCTGCAGATGAAGCTTAGCTGCATTCTGAACGCATGAACATCATGTTTAAGCTAGTATTGGAATTGTTAAACCTCGCACTTGGCCGACATAGCAACGAGGCTTCAGCGCCACAGCGAGGGTGTGCGGCGCCGCAGCACGTCACCCCCCTTTCAGTCGAAGCCGAGCTCGGTGCTGAGAGCTGCTTTCGTCACACGAATCTGAAGCCGAGCTCGTTTGTCAGATGGTTTGCGTGGAGTGAACGCTTTTTGGCATGTGCTTTTGCCCGTGGCCAAGTCGCTGGAGGCAGATCGCATGAAGCAATATGGCATCAAGAAGTTTATGAGGCTCGCTTTCACAGTTGCCGCCAGCTGTTGTCAAAAGAACGGCTGGTACTTGGCCTGCAGACTTAATCGTGTGCACGCCATGCACGATTACGGCAGACCTGTGCCCCTCAGTTGACAGTGCAGTCCATGGCAGCAGAGACTCGGCATGTTTTGGTGACAGAGGCTTGATGCCTTTGAGGATCCGAAGGAGATCAAGCGACTGCAGGCAACGACTGACTGACTGGCGCACGTCATGTCGAAGCTCCTGGTCAATCTTGAGGTGAGCAAATGTCAGCAATCTAACGAAGCCTTTTCTATAATAGAGCCGCATTGGAGCGGAGTTGTCGCCATCCAACAAATGCAGCATGCTGGCAGCGTGAGCGTCGTTTTGTGTCCTGCATCTTGGTCAACTGTCTCTCCGTGTCGTTCTTCTCAACAACCGTGGTGATCCAGAATCCGGATACCAATGTAGCTTGCTCCGTCAGGCAGAGTGGGAAAAGTACCTCAGAGATCTGATGCCCTCAACCAGCAACAGAGCGACCAATGCAAGCAGGCGGGAGCATTGCAAGGGCCACGCGTTATGAAGATTGGGATTCTTGAGACTGGGGTTCTTGCTTTGGGAACCTGATCGCGAAGATCAATGATCAAGGCTGGAGGCTTGAAGATTTCACACCGCAAGTCTGCTTCACTGGAGAGTGCAATGCAGCGCTTGAGCCTGGGAGCTGCTGTCACAGCACAGGCTGCTGACCGACCCGGCCCTACGGAACCACAACGCGCAACTCGCAACACTTTACGGAGTGTCAAAATTGGCTCAACGTGTGTGGATGTCCATCGCGGTCCATTGCGTCACGCCCCTGAGAAAGGCCCCCAAATGCACGGATGGGGGCCGACTTGCCCTCGGCAGACAGAGCAGTCTCCCAACGTGCCCATGCTTGAGAAACATCTGTAGGTTGAGTGGTCCTTGACCTTGCTGTCAGCTTCCGGAATTGGAAAGGGACATTCAGCACGAAGGAGAAGTAAGCAGGTATAAAGGTGGAATAAAGGACCTAGCTACTGCAACAACCAGCTGCAGGGAGCTCCAGCTCCATTCTGCCGACTGACGACTGCAAGACGAGGGCATGAGCGCACAACAAAGGGTTGCAACCGCGACAGTCTTCTAACACTGGTCCCAGTCCAAAGCTTCATAAGGGCTGTTGAGAAGACCAAACTCTAGCAGTTTCAATTTGCAGTTTGCCCCGTGAGTGAGACTCTTGCCTCTCGCCTCGGTCTGACTGCCCTTCCCCCCGATCCCATGAGATGATCACGGCTGGTTCAGGATCCGGTTACAAACTGAGTTTGAAGCTTCGACGTCGGAGTAGTTGCCCACAGCTGGCACAATCAAATCATTGCATGCCAGCCAAAGTGTGAGACTAGCTGACCGCAGAACGAACTGAGATCAGGAAGCAACGGAAACCCACTTAAGTGCTGCCGCCGACGTGGCCTGCGCTGACTGACAGCCCTGCGAGACGCGAGAGAGCGCAGTTGACAAGCCGATTGTCTCATCGTGGAGCACGTGAGCTAAGCGGAATGCTGACTTTTCGATCCGCAAACATGCAGGAAGTACATCCTTCGCTTGCTTTTGCGGAAGGGAAAGGGTTTACTAGCCCGATTCATAGGGACGTGGAAAGGAGGATGGGTGCAGCTAAGGGGCAGTTCCGTTTGAAGCACCAAAGAATCGGGAAGGACCCACCAAAAGACCAAAAACCAAGCTCTTCGCTGGCGCTCTCCGCCAGCCGGGGCAGACAGGGCTTCAGCTAAAGCATTCACAGCCCCGACATCCCCTTTTTCCTACCCATGCTCCACGTTCACGGCATTTTCAGGCGTGCGCTGCAGCTGCAGCTGGACTTCAATGTCTCATTGCGCGAGGTTGGTTGCGTTCAGGAAGCCCAACTTCGTGAGTTCAGTTTTCAGCCTTTGATGCGTGAAGGCAATGAGCAGCCTCCGAGAGATCAAGGCAGTTTGGCCTACAGCTGCTGGTGCGTGCTAGCGAGCCATCCTGCGATTCGCGAGCCAACAGCTCTGATAGTTTGATGCTGCTGGTAGTGATGCTGCTGCTATTGAGGCTTACACTAGAACAACTGCAGCGCGATTCGTGGCAGGAGATGCACAACGCAAAGCAGCGGGAGAAGGCTCCGCCCTCGGTGCGTTGCAAAGGGTGAGTCCGAAATGCCGAGTTTACTAAATCCGACTGCCAAGTCCCACATTGTGCTCAGGAATTCAAGAAGCTGTTACGAAAGTGGCACCCAGACAAGCGGCTTGCCCACATGGTAAAATTATTTTTGCGTGCCCGAGTTGGCCTGGGTGTAGATGTTCAAGAATGTTGAAAAAGGTTTGTCCCTGTCACGCATGACAGCCGCTACTGGTAGAGTGGACAGCCAAGGAATGGGGACAAGGATCTTTTGTGTACAGCAGTGTTTCAATCCTTGCAGGCAGCAAAAGGCTGGATCTAGCTCCTTTGCGCTCGTTTCTTGCCAGGGCCTGCTGCCGTTGCAGCGGGCGTTTCGGCTTTCATTTTTCCGATGGGAAAGCACTGGCGGCTCTGGCTGCGACAAATAGACACTTGCTTCGAGAACGTGCGTGGATCTTCATACTGCGACAGTTATTACGAATCAAAGCACAACGCGGAGGTCGAAGCCCAGGAGGTCTGTCCTCCGGATATTCACGTGTAAAAAGCATTCCAGTATAAGAGAGGAAGAACACCCAAAGACCAAATTGATTTGTCGGCCTGCTTTTGAGCTGCAGGCCTGTATATGCTTGTGCATGTCGCAGTTTTGGCTTGTCTGAACGAAGTACTTCTACAGTAGCTGTGCGACAAAGCATGGCCTTCCCATGTGAGCACAGCGATGTGCAGTCGTACTTGCCGGTGGACGGGAGGGTTACATGCTTTCTGTGAAAGCTGGTTCCTGTCACTCACGACATGTTTGTTCCCCTTGCTGTTGCTAACGATGTAAGACGTATGCTGACACGGGACGGAAGTTGACCGACGGAAAATCAACCGCCTCGTATATCAACAGTCCCACAGACCCCGGCCTACTGTAACTGTGGAGCATGCAGGACTTAATGTTGGAATCGGGCATGTTGCAGCAGGGACCTGAAACCTCAACCCGGAACCCAAAGCCGCCAGGACACTGCGATACCCGCACGAAGCTCGCAAGAGCATGGTTTCGAGGATCAGCTGGAGGAGCAGCTTGCAGAGCAGGTTCATGCGGTGCATTCTCCGCGAAAGTAGAGAGATTTGAAAAGGCGAATGTATCGAGTGAGAGGAAGCCTGAGGAAGCCCATTGCTTGCTTCGACATGAGCGGGGAATGAATAGATAGCCCTACCGTGCAAGTGAGCTTCCTTTTCAGGGGAGTCATGTACTATTTTCACACATGGAAGGCCGAAGAGCTTGATGAGCCATCCCTGTCGTCAGCAGAGCAGCAGGCTCGGTGACTTGAGACGGGCCAGGTCACAGATGAGTTGTGATCAGTTCAGCTGAGCATTCAGCAGCGCTGTATGGCATGGGAAGGCGTGAAAGGTGGTGCGACGTTTCGTCAAAACCGTGGGTTAGTTCCAACCTTCACTGTCCCACATTGGTGCGACACCTGTCTCACGTCTGCTGCCAGGGACGTGGCCGCTGGAAATTGGTTTGCGCTGGTCTCATCGCAGCAGCTGCAATCTTCGTCACTGTGAAGGGTGTCCGCAAAGCTTCTGTGTCCCTACGTGGCGCAGCGGACGTGGCGCTGAGTCTCGGTAGCACTGGACCGCTCCTCGAAAGTCTTGGATTGCTTGAGTGACCCAGGTGGGAAGTCGCGACGAACCACTGTGGTGGAACCTTCGAGGTGCTCCTGAGATGTAGATGTGGGGGACTGGTTGCCAAAGGCAGGCCCAAGTGTAGACGACTTCTTTACCTACTCCAACAGACGATGGCCCCACCAAGGGGGTTTCACGTTCAGACCTTGTTCAGTTAGCCAGTTGCAGTCATTTGCAGCGCACAGCCACGGCAGAAGTCGTCAGACCAGGCCAAGCAAAGAGTTGGCTTTGGACCTGGCAGGTTGCTGGCATGGGGACAGTTCACCTCATCAATGCCGAAGGGAACACACCAGGCTTCTTGGGTTTTGGGGATCTGGTCGCAAGCATCTTCGCACGTACTGCGAAAGAGCCTCGGAGGCGATGCAGCGAGCAATCCATGGATCGAGGACTCTTTCCGCATCCACATGGTGTGTCCCCTCTCCTTTGACCTGTTGTTTAACCCTGTCGGATGGAGCCTTCGCATGCGCTGCGTGTGGAATGAGCTGGGAAAGTGAGGACTCCAAGATCAACCTTGCTAGCCAAGCCCGAGCCTACTGGGGCTCTGCCTGCAACCCGCAAGGCGCGGAGTTCTTCTATCGTTCTTGTGAGGTCGTTTGGGGTTTGGGGTGTAGTGTTCAGGGTGCAGGGTCTTGGGTCTACGGTTCCTTCCACTGCTTGCTTTGGGCAGGCGGTTACTCGCAAGAAGATTACCTGGATGTGCCGCTGCTGAACAGACGGCTGCAGTACACAACCGACCTCAGTGGCGCGGGATGTGGCTGCCCCTTGCCTGCTGCTTTCTTCCGCTGATTTCGGCCCTGCAACAGCGAACTCCTACCGCGCAGTCTTTGCTGACGGCGTTTGGTTGTTGTTTCTTACCTCTTCCATCATAGAGTGGTGGGGACACTTACGTAATCACTACAGACCATCAAGTTTAGGATCCGTGTTGCAGGGGAATATCGACAAACGTGGGATCCCTAACAAAGTGGAGATGAGGGAGGCTGCGATTACGCCAGTAGACATATCAGCTCAGGCAACACGGCGTTTTACCTCGTGTCCATGACTCGTGGCAATACCTGGGAGACGAACTGCAAGGCAGGGCGAAGAAAGTTCAAGGGCACATGAACTGGATGGGGATAGCGCAGAAACATCCGTTCAGCTGAGGACTACTACTGTGATGCAATGAGCGTTTGTGGTGTGCGATGCCTGGAACTTGACATTCAAGAAGCGAGCCTGCTCTCAATTCAGTCCGCATGCGACATCCGAGATGAAAGTGCATCTGTCTTATCAGTTTATCCGGGTCTGGAATTGGACAGACGTAGATTCGAACGAAATAGCGATAATAGAGCGGAGGAAAGCATGTCGAGACGAGTCTGAGACGAGGCCAATTTTACTGGGTTTTGGTGAAATGACAAAAACACTGATCCTAACTCTCCAACTAGTACCTTAAGTTTTCTTATTACCTGCACCCTGGACATTTGCTCAAGCGAGGAACACGCGCGCCTTCCATAGCACCTTTCACGACCTGCGCTCGGAGAAGGACTGCAGACGGCAAGCGGAAGTGTTAGGGTTCAGGCTGGCGTTTGTGCTGTAGGGTTTAGGCGTCAGTATGTCCGTCTTAGAGGTGCCCTAGTCGAGGCCGGACAGACCGACCAAAATGTAGCTTCCTAGGGGCTCCTGGTAGCTCGCTAAACCCTCAACCCTAAGCCCTGGCCCTAAACCCCTAAACCTGCTGCTGAGTAAGGTAATGAAGTGGATGCGGTCCTCCTATTCAAGCCTCCCCTATGGGGCTCTCCAGCAGGTACTATGCAGTTGGAAAATGGTGTCACAAAAAAACCCTAAACGCCCTAAACGCCCTAACACCCTAAACCCTAAGCCTGCTTTGGGTTCCGAATCAACTCATGCGCAGGACAACTTCATCGGAACCGGCGGAGGGTCCGCCCTTTACGTGGCCACTCCTGGCATAAAGCTCCCAGGTTAAGTCCCGGGTTACATCTTGTTCTTCGGCCACTGGTTCAGCTTCAGGTTCCTTGTGCTTGTTGTGTTTCAGGCGCTCCTCTGCATTCATGAGCGTTCGAGTGGCTACATGTAATGGCGATGATGACGGCGATGATTCTTGCTCTGGGCGTTGCATTTTATCTCTTCGAGAGTTCCCATTTCGATTTCCACTCTTTGTATTTCAGGTAGCTGATTCACATGAAATCGAAACTTCGTTTTTTTATCGCAGGGTTTGTTCGACGCAGTGACGATAGTCAATGGCAAGATAACGAGCGATTCACAGCCTCATAGCTCGCAGGACACTGCAAATTAATAGCCTTAGGCCTAGCTTTTCTCAAACCCTAAACCATAGACCCTGCAGTCCCTGTGGACCCTGCGAGCCCTAAGCTGAAGCTCCGTTCATCTTCGTCTGGTGATCGCGCGAAGTGGCACAGAAAGAACAGGAGAGGAAGCTTGCCCTGTCGTGCTGCCGCTCGATGGAAATTCATAGCCCTCTCTATGCTTATGCCCTGGAAGGAGATGGCACAGACATGTGATGATCTATCGAAGCATCTACCCTTTCATCAAACGAAGTTTGGTGAGGAAGATGTGTTACTGCTCGCTTTGCATTGTTCTTGCAAGTCTTGAAGTTCTGCCTTTTTTCAGTCTGCTGGTCTTTCGTTTGGTCCCCTTAGCTAGCTGCGTCGTAGCTCCGGTGCACCGGGGAGGCGGCGCTGAATGGCTTGGGCCGCGGGACTGGTCGGCCAACCAGAGACTTGCCGAGCGTTCGGATAGGTGTATCAGGTGTGTCCTAAACATGGAAATGGTCCCCTAAACCTGAGTCCTAAACTAAACCCTAAACCCGAAACTCAAACATGGACAAATCTGGATATGGCTTGCAGTACACAGCAGAATTCGAGGTATGGTGTCAACGGCACGTGCATCAACACCGCGAAGAAGTTCCAAGTGGCAATTGAGTTCCCTGTTCAGGACCCGTGCGTATCCACACAGAAAGCTGAACTACACCCTGTAAGGTTTCCCTGAAACATGTCAGTCTTAGCTGCGGTCACGAAGCGAGAATGTAGGGTTTACTGTAGGGTTCAGGCTTCGGGGCGTAGGGTTTTACGGCTTTCCTAACGGACCGCTGCCTAGCGTAGAAGTTGGCACGTGGCTCTCACAAATCCGGCAGGAAGGCACTGAGCAGCTGAAGAGCATCGAGACTTGGCAGTTCGATTGTCTTGTTGGTGTCAGGGCTCTCCCTTGGCTTGGATTTCCATAGGGTTTATTGTTTTTTTTTCTTCCGGGTTCTCATAGGAAGCGCTCTTTAGCTCCTCAAGCACTTGGGGACGGATTAACAACGCATGGCACCCCACCCAAAGGATGTGACGCTCATGCAAGATGGTTGCAGTCTGCGTGCGTCCAAGTACGACCAGGACCGAAAGCCTGAGATTGCCTCAGAGAGTATCATGTTATGGATTGTTATTAGTTATGGTGCGTGGTATCCTGTTCTGTAGTCACTATAGTCTATCATAGGACGGTGTAGTCTGCTAGCATGTGGGTCAGAAGTAAGCCCAGCGTCACACTGTAGAAACGAATGGCTCCTTGAAGGCATTGCTGCAAGCTTTCAGCGACGACCTGAAGAAGGGGATGACGCCTGTGCTGAGTCACTTCGAGTGGTTTCGTTTACATACACGCAGGCTTGCAGACATTGAAACTTGGTGTGATGCGATTCCCAACTCTTGTGCCTCGATTGTCATCGCTGTGCAGATTTTGTGAGCCGGTCAAGGTTACTGGAACGACGCCAAGATGACCTGGCTTGATGGCAATGGCATGGGCGAGGACGGAGCTTGCCGGTGCGGGTCGAGGGTGTGGCCGAAACGAGTGCGTGAGCTGTGCTGCTACTCCCAGTCAGTTTTAGTTAGAGTTGTAGATCGGTGTAACTTTGTGAGATCGGAGTTGTTCGGTGTTTTTGATCAAGAGACCATTTGTGCACTTTTTCGCGGGTGCAGGAGGCAATGTCGTTCTGCAGCAAAGAGGATGATGCCCAGATTGCAAAAAGTAAGACGTTAAGAGCATGCCATCCTAGCCCGTCGTCTCCGCGGCAGCACTCCTTTCCGCTGTTCGCGATGATCCCGACACCGTTGCTGCCGTGATGAGGGCCAGTAGACGCTTCTGTCTCCTAGCATCGGTTAACGTTGGGGTTTTGATGTTTCGTGGCTCGTCTTGCATACACAGGACGGCTCATTCATACCATACCGTTTCACAAGCTTGCTGACTTTCTCCGGAGCATGAGCATGTTCGCGAACAATCTCGGTGCGGCTGCTACCAAGAAATCCTGAACAAAGGCCGTGTTAAGCGGTTGTCAAAAGACAGATCTGTAGCTGTTTGGTCACTAGGACCAGGAGCATCGGAAGACCGAGGATCTTCGCAGATCGTGCTCAAAGACCGCACCTTGCCTGCATTATTTCACGTTGTTGTGGTTGTCAGGGTCCTTTTTGTCGCTGTTGCTGCTACCGTTTCTGTTGCTGTTACGGTTATCGTTGCTGTTGCCATTGCTGTGTTGCATTACAGTCTCTGTTATCCTTACCGCTACCGCTACTGCTGCTGCTGCTGCTGCTGCCACTACGACGACGACCGACCACTACAACTCCCACCACGACGACGATGACTGCTACTGCTACTACGACGACTCCTCCAAGCACTTTGTAGACAAGCACCCAACCTTTACAGAAACCTTAGAGTACCCCTTGCAGTAAGCCTACCGCACGGTCTGCAGCGATTTTTGCCGCCCTGGACCGCTCCGCTCCGCCAGACGTTGCGAGGTCTCCTTCGACGACTTCTCCATCGCCCCGCTTACGGAAATCGTGAGCATGTGAGCTAGGGTTTAGGGCCTTGCGGGTTGTGGGTAGCATTACGGTTTTTCAAAGGCCGCTAGGCTCTATAAGCCCTACACCGTTTAGTAAACAGCCTATCTACGCCCCAAAGCCCTCGGCCTTAAACTCTTACTTTCGAGCTGTAGGTGCTCGGGTGCTCCCAAAGTTGGACTCCTCTTTTCATGGAGCCCAGGAGTCCCCCCGAGCTGTAGGAAAAACACACATTTGAATCTGGCTGGGGACCGGTGAAAGAAAGGTCTCAGCTGTTTGAGAACGTGAGGAAGTGTCGCGGCCGGACCCCGAAACCCCAAAACCCTAAACCCAAAAAATCAAAGCCTCAGGAAGGACTCCTAGGTTTAGGGCTTGGTGCCGGAGACTTCCTCGGATGTCGGATGCACTGCACAGCAAAGCTTGACATTTTTGGCTGCTCGTAGGGATCTGACAGCACTGGAGAAGCCGGGTCTCTGAGGCTCTGATTGCTCCTATGATCATCATCAGCAGCAAAGGGTTTAGGTTTAGTCCTACTTGCCACCACCCAATGCACGAACATCCTTTGCTCAAGTCCGGTTGGTAGGGCTCGCGGGCAGTTTTTGTGTTTTCAATGCGTTTTCCTGAGAATTCCTGACAGACGACAGGCTAACATTAACATCATGGTCACAATCGATGTTCGTTCCGGCGTGGAAACCTTGAACCCTTGAACCCCAAACCCCAAACCCCGAACCCGATCGTGCCGGGGACGAAGTAACCCGGTTCTTCTGCAAGGAACCAGGGGGTTTCTTGGATTAGGATTAGAATGGTCAAGACAAGGGAACTTGTCCTTCCGAAGACTCGAACCCGCCTCCTCCACGATCTTGTGTACAGACCTTTTGAAGCATTAGAGAATGCTTCCTTAGCTTAGAGAGATCTGTCTTAGGGTCCCTCACACTTTTCGGCTCGCTACGCCGGGCTACAAGAGCTTCCCTCTGGGGGGTAACCTGCACATCGCAGAAATATGCAGAAATCCGCTGTCAGCTGAGGAGTCGATCCATCCGACTGTGCCTTTAGGGGTTGGGGCTTTGGGTTTTCGGCTGACTCTTTCTAGAAGCTTTGAGCGCAAACGAAGCGGAGATGTTGTTGCTGCTCGGACATCCGCAGATGGGGAGCCCAAGAGCCTCTGTCTAGGAGTCTAGCTCTATCTGAGTTAGATATGGTTTTAGACTATCCCTGCTCAGGATATCGGCCAAGCTATTGCCCTTGCCTGTTGGGGGCACAGGCCAAAGAAGCACGGCTGTATGCCGAGTTGATCTCACCGAGACTTCAAAGCATTTCTGCAGCAGTCTTCGGCTTGAGGACTGTGGGGAACTAGCTCCCTAATATAGTACCCTAAATAATAGGATCCTTATTATAAGGACCCCAAAATAAGGTACCCCAATTTAACGTAGCTTACACTCCGGCTCAGACCAAATTGACCTAACGGCATGGTCACGTCGTACAGGCACGTGATCGGGCAGGGGTGGACCCTAACACTTGATCCACTCAGACTGACTTGTCCAAGGTGTAACGAGCGAGGCAAACGATGATTTGCCGTGCCCTTGACAATCCGGACTCTGGAAGGATTATGGAACCATGCCTTACTGCTGGTAACTCGCCGAGGCTTGTTGCTCTCATTGCTGTTTCCTGGCATTCAACCGTGTGAAGCGTCGGCATCTGAGTGTATAGATCCGTGGCAGCGCTCATCTCTGATTGTCATGCTGCGGTCTTTGCAGAAGGGCAGGTGACGTCTGACATGACACGAGGGCTAGTGTAGCGAGTCTTTTGCATGCCTGTGCGCAAGCACAAAAACACAGAAAAACATTTTTTGGTTCGTTTCGAGAAGTGTCTGTCTGTCTGTCTGTCTGTCTGTCTCTGTCTCTCTCTCTCTCTCTCTCTCTCTCTATCTCTCTTCCTCTCTCCCCTCACCCGAGAGAGGAGTCGTAAACGCCTGTGAACTCGGAACCGCCTGCCGCGCCGAAGTCCGTTGTGTTGTTTCTGTCGTACTCTCTTGCCGCTTGCTTCTGATACCTTAGTTGTTGTGCTCCACCTCGCAAGGGTCGATCCACACAGCTTTTTAGATGCCGCGGGGGGTTGTTGTCGAGTGTGCCAGTTTTCTCAGCATTCGGGACTGGGGACCCGCACAGTACACCAGAAGTAGCGTTTCGGGGTTGAGATGTTTGCTTCTGCCGATGCACGTGTCATGGGGATCCGAAAGGCTATTCATGTCGGCTTGCATTCGAACTCTGACAGGAGCCAAAATCTCGTGTGATTCTGGGCTGACATAGGGGCAAAAGGACTATAGTCCTGCTTTGTTCTCGCCAATGCAAGGTGGACTCAAATATGATTGGCCTCGCCCTTGGAAGTTTCTCTGCTTCGGTGCTTTTCTGCTGTCGCATCCTTGCCGATGCCTGGACAGGTCTGCTCATGTTGCCAGAAGCCTGCAGGCCAGTTCGGCCCCGTTGCTGGCTCCTGGAGGAGTTCCCCGCCCAGTTCATCGAGTTTCCTCTTTCTGCCACGGTGGCCCTGCCCAAGTGAGGCTTCTGTTGGACAGCTACTGTGGCTCGTGTATGCCTCAGAATGGTGAGAGGCTGCGTGTTCGGAAACTGACTCATGCAGTGGAGCCTGAAAGACTGCAGTCGCGTTGATCCAAAGGCCCACGGAGATTTGGGCAGCCTTCGTTGTGATGTCAGGTTCCGTTTTCAGCAGAACATGTTGATTGCAGTCTGCAGTCTGACGATCCTCGTCTTCACCATGGCCTCTGAGTGCCGTCTGAGATCCTCGTCTCCAGGCGCGTTGATCCAGAAGCTTGTTTGAATAAATAAGCGGGAACTAGCCTCGCTGGGTGATCTGAGTTTGTGGTTTGAGGTCGGCGATCGGAGACAGTGCCGAAGCAGTCGACAAGGCGAGGAGGCGTGTGCACCGACTGAATGTCCGGAAGCCCGATTGCTCTTTCGGAGATGGTTCGAGCAGCCACCCGGAGCTTCCGCTGCAAGACGTCGTAAGCTGTGCGAGGCCCGCTTATCTGCCCCCGAGAAGATGTGAACCGATTGCTGGGCAGGAGGCCCTCGGCCATGCAGACGCATTTCAACTTCGTTGGCGTGGGGGCTCCATCTTTCGGCTCACACCCACCCAAAATCGCCCACAATCTCCAACAAAAGCCCCTCCAATCACATTTACTTTACACGCCCAACAGCCCCGCACCCAGAGAGAGCCCCAGTCGGCCTTCAAGGTCAAGTGCGAAAGTGGAATTTTTGCATCCGGCCCGGCCGGTGGAAGTAGATTACCCAAAGCCTACACCCGAACCCTCCCGAAGACTAAGCACCCCATACTTAGGACTTCGGGAGGGTTTGGGGTTCAGGGTGCTCTCATTGAGCTTGGGCAGGTGGCATCTCTTGCGAGCTCGGCAGCAGGGCTCGCGGCTCAGTGTCAGTTGCGATCATCGGGGTTTGGGTTTCGGAAACCCTAAAGTCCCAAAGCGTTCCTGAATTATCAGGAGCCCAGTTCGTCCAGGAGCAGAGACTGAAACTGCGATCCACAGGAGCCGGTGAGAGTTTCAGAATAACTTGGGGGGGCCTGCCGCAAACCTGCTCAACCCTACGAGCAGCCACTTAGGATCCATGCTTCATTTTCTGAAACTCCCCTCTTGCCTCGACCGTTCGGCACCGAGTTCCCGAAAAAAGGCTGCTGCCAAGTGTGGGAGTGCGCTGGGGAAAGCTTCTGCTTCTTCAAGAGTGCCGAAGACTTTCAGGGAAATGAGCTTGTGCTGCGAGCTTTTGCTACAAGGAGAACTCCGCACACAGTTGTTCATCCACGCAATGAAGCAACCTCTGTGGCCGATGTGGGTCGTCGCCTGCGGCCTGATGGCCGGTGCTTCGGCTTTCAAGGTGTCGCAAGACGCCGTTGCTGCCGACAGCCAGGGCCAAGCAGCAAACAGGAGCATTCGGGCATCACCGATGGTGACTCCCTCATGGCACCCGGATTGCATGGCCAGGTCCCCATCCATTGAGGCAGTCAAGGTGCGCGATGAGACAAAGCCCAGCCTTATGACAATGACAATGGGCGAGTACAGGCGCGGTCCAAAGGCACCGGAAGTTTTTCGCGAGCTTACCACGGCCGCCGCTAGTACTCGCTACGAGGACCTGCGTGAGTCTTTCAAGATCTCTGATGCGATTCTGACGCCTTACGAAGCTATGGTTGAGCAAGCCACCGAAGCGTCATGGATCGAGTATGAGCTTTGGCAGGCAGCCGCTTTCAGACAAGTGCAGCTCAAGCTGTGCCGTGAGAATGCGACCCAGGCGGCACCTGCGGGTGACTGCGCGAAAGTCCCAGACCCCGCAGTTGACAGCTTCTCGAAGCCGATCTTGGTGGATGCGTGCCAGCTCATGTGGCAAACCCACCACTCACGTCTCATCGATTCGCTCTCGCAAACCGCTTTCTTCCAAGATGAAAACAGGCTGCACAGACAGAAGCTGAACAGGCACGAGCAAAGTGTCGCCATGGAGATGAAGGACAAGGCCGCATTAGAAGCGAGACTCGATGAGATAGAAAGCAAAACTTATTGGACTCTGGACGAGAAAGATGAACGCGATAAAATCATCGAAACGCTAGATCCCGGCTCTGAAAACTTCTATGGAAACCTGTACAGGAACAGTCAGCTCAAAGACGAGGAGAAGGCATACCCCGTCTACCGACACCTGCTGGACACGAGGAAGGCTACCAAGCAGAAGCTGTGGCAGGCACTTTGGGAGGACATCCCAAAAGAGCATCGGGCCGGCTTGTCGCCCAAAACTCCCTTTGCAAAATCTTGCGGACGCGCCTGGTCCACGAAACCCTCCCAGCGGCACAATGGGACGGTTTTGTCGCGCATGCTGGATGCATCCAGGGCTGAGAAGATGTGTGAGTCCCTGACTATTTGCAGCGGCTACAGCTGCAACGATGGTGGCTGTGAGCTCTTCGCCGGCTCCGATTTGTCCAGTGGAGAGGGCTATGACACTTATGTGAAGGATATGCCACACACAACTAAACAGGCATACCTTGCCACCCTATGCCCATGGTTCATGGACTGGCACTTGGTGGAAGAGGGAGGCGTCTATGGCGTCTACCATCCCACTCACAGGCTCACCTTCGCCGGGTCCTGCAACGTCACCCGAGAGTATGAAATTGCGCAGTGTGCGGAACAACAGGGCAGGGTCCAGGCTAGTTGCCATACATTCGGGGCCTGGCTGCAAGGTGCCCAGATTCGACTTTCCAGGATGCAGAAAGAGAAGGCCATTGCCAGCCTTGATGCCAAGAACAGAAACGCATACCAGCAGGAGCGCGACAAGCGGTGGCTTGCAGAGAACACGGCTCAGTACAAAGTCGAGCTCGCGCAGAAGGCTGCGGAAGCAAGAAACCCACCGTTCTCTGTGTGGGGCATTGTCTCAACCATAGGTTCTCTTGCAGGTCCATTGGCCAGTCTTGTCGGTGTTGGAACGAAGGCCACCGAGCCTATGCAAAAAGGGGTGGAAGTTGCCTTTGGACTGATTGAAGCTATTGGTGTTACCGGTGAAAAGTACTCCGCAGGCAGAGGATATGGGGAGTTCGAAGATGAGCAACACGAACAGGAATATTTCGAAGCTGTCAGCGAACAGGTTACAAAGTTTGAGGAGGCGCGCTTGGAAGCCGACACAGCACTCCTCCATGCTCAGCTGGACTTTGCGAAGGAGACCCTGGGCGCAGTGGGTTCTGAGATCAGCGCTGCTCAAACTGGAACAGACGCCTTGTGCGGTGCTCCGAAACAGAAGTCTTGTCGCATTTGGCATTCTACCGAAAGTCAGTCAGTCAGTCAGTCAGTCTCTCTCTCTCTCTCTCTCTCTCTCTCTCTCTCTCTCTCCCGCTCCCTCCCTCTCCCTTGACTACAGCAGTTGGCATGAATTTGGAAACTCACTGGCTCCGTTGTTTAAAAGCAACGCCGAAAAATGCCAGCGTCCTGGGGTCAAATGTGGATCGTAGAAACCACGCACCAGAATCACAACACCTTGACAAAGTCCCACGCCACAGTATGCAGATTGTTAAAGCTCAGTTGAAGTTGGAAAGCGGGAACTCCGCAGTGTGATGCGGTTCTGCACCCCTTGTAGGTGTGACTTCTTCGACTTCTCCATCTGCAATTTGCTGGAGCTTATCGGCAAGCGTGCCGCCGATCAAGCCAACTTCTTGGCTGGTCTGTCGGACAAGGATCAGAAGCAGCGTTTCGACGAATTGAGGAAGGGCATCAAGAACGAGACAGAGGCTATTCGAAAAGACATTCAGGGCGTGCAAGAAGCAATTGAGAAGGGCATGGATCAGATCTCCAACCTGACGACACCTCTCAAGCATGCAATGTCAGACATGGGAGCGAGCTTGAAGAGCTCCGTTGACGCAGTGGCCACTCAAGTCAATCAGGCCGTGGGGAAGGTCTCTAGTGACGTGCTTCGGAGTCTGGAGGACTCACGCCGGCTGCTGGATTCCAAAGTCGGTAACATTGAAGCAGCGCTGACAAGCATGGACAAGTCCACCACAGAGGCTATTCAGCGAACCCAGGCCAAGCTCACTTCTGAAATCAAGGACGTGCAGGCCGCTGTGCTCGATGGAAGCCAACGAGTCCTCGATGGCATGGAAGACAAAATGACCCTGATGCGACTTGAGATGAAGAGTTTCGAGTCGTCACTCAGCGACGATCTCTGGGATGTGCAACAATATCAGGGGGTCTTGGGAGACATGATTGTCGGTAACGCCATGCGCCTGGATGAGTTGCAATCTGCGGTGGATGGCGCACTCGCTTTGGCAGAGGAGCATCAGCTTGAGAGCTTCCAAGCGCGGCTCTCTGAAGTATTGGTGGACATGAGGTCTGCGCTTGTCACTGCGCTTGATCTTGAAGAGCAGGCCTTTGCGGCCAAGCTTGCCTACGGCAGGGCTGTTCAGCACTACTCTCAGTGCAAGGTTCCGTGGGAAGAGGTCCTGGAAAAACAGGCGAGCATGAACAGTTCACAGGTCCTCAAGGAGCCCCAGCAGTTCTTTGATCTGCAGGCGAAGGCGGCTGCATCCTTTGTGAAAGCAGCGCAGATCCTGTCTGCCGGGCGGGTGATTCGCCGCTTGATCGAGAAAGGCATCTTGGAGCTGCTGCCTGCAGGGCTGAAGCAAGATGACTTCACAGTCTGTCGTGAGTACTTCTCCCCACGTGGTCTTCAGAAAGTCGGTGAAGCGATCCAATTCAGTGCCAGCAGAGCATTAACGTCGGTGTCGAGGCAACTTGAGTATCTGCACAGTCTTTGGATCAGGACAAAGCAGGTTTCAGCAAGGAACGGTGCGGCGATTGGCCATGAAACCACCTTGCTCACTCAGGACCCTCACAGTATAGTGGGGGCTGTACTGTGCATCACGATCAGGTAGCACGAGCCTTTTCTCTTGTTGCAGGAGGCCTGGGCAAACATTGTCTCGACAATGTCAACGGTGGCCAGGGTCTTCGAGATGCCAGTCGCCGACAAGTCGCGTGGACTTCTGCATCTTGGCTGAGAGTCGGTCAGTTTCACGAGTTCTGTTTGGATCTCGGGACAAGTGCGCCATTGCGCAGCTTTATCTGCCTATCTACGTATCTATCCATGTATCTATGTACCTATCTGTGTATCTATAGTCTTTGTATGTATGTCTGTCTGTCCTGTCCCGTCCCGTCCCGTCCGGTCCTGTCCTGTCTGTCTGTCTGTCTGTCTGCCCGTCTGTCTGCCTATCCAGTCATCTATTTGTCTATGTCTGTGTGCACGAATGTGTGTGAGTGTATATATATATATATGTGTGTGTGTGTGCGCATGTTGTGACTTCTTTCATGAAAGCATCTGTCAACTCCGTCGTCAAGCACAAGCTACAGCTGCCTGCTGCCAGTGTCTTCATGGCTCTTCATTCTTCTGACTCCTGAGGCTCCTCTACCGCAAGATCCTGGCACAAACACTTCCGGAGCTTTGCTCATTGCCGACGAGCTGCCAAGCTGATGTCGGTTTTGCCGGGTTACTGCGGATCAAATCCAACCCCTAAATCCCGTTGCGCTGTGACCACTTAAGGCTGTGTCTCCGCCATTGTGCAATTAGCACCGTCGAGTCCGACGACATCTCTGGTGGCGTGGGATCGTGTAAAATTGGACCATGGGGGTGAGCTCCTTGTGGTGCTCGAAAGGGCAGAGGCGCTGCTCCTGGAAGAGGGCGTGCATTCCGGCTGGGAGATTGACGTGCGAAAGCCCATCCCGGCAAAGTTGCAGAATGTCAACAGCCTTTTGAACTCCCGAGTCTTTGGCTGCAAGCTTGACAAGAATGCAGATGGTTACACTGCATTCCGACCGCGCGACTCGATTGCTCTGTCAATGCCTGACAGAGCCTTTTGTTTCTGTGCCGCCAGAGTGAGCTCCCGGGGAGTTGTTGACCCGGAGTGCCAACGCCACAGCAGCGGCATTTGTGCGCAGGCCTCAAATGTTGCACTGGACTTGTGGTCCCCCGTGCACAAACCTCTGTTTCTTGAGGTCTTCAAGCCTTGGCAGGCCAGGTTCGAAAGGCTCATTCTGGTGACGCGTTGCGGAGACGGAGTTCAGGATTCCTGGGAGGCTTGTGATGACGGCAACCAGATGGATGGAGACGGCTGCTCCTCCAATTGCAAGAAGATCAGCCCCGGCTTCACGTGCACGAAGCCTGGCGAGGCTTGCGTTACCACATGTGGAGATGGAATCCTTGCCGGTGCGGAAAACTGTGACGACGGCAATCTCGATGCCGGCGACCGAGTCCTTGTTGAGGAACTCCATTTGATTGTGGTTGTTAGAATTAGATTCCAAAGACCATGCAGACCCAAGCTAACCTATGCAAAACCAGTATGGCGCTCGCAAATTAAGTGCCTCAAGCCCGACTTAGTCCTACTTTGTCCGCAAGCCCTATACCTACGTGAAACCCTAAACCGTAATCTCGTTGACACACAACACCCTTTCAATGCCTAGGTGATGGCTGCTCGCCGACCTGCTCACTTGAGATGTGCTATCGCAAGAGTTTTCCTGCCGCCTTCCGGCGGTTCCCTGCCACGCAGCACATCATCGGCGAAGGCCTTCATGGTCCAAAGTCCTATGAAGCCTTGAACGCTGCGGCCTGAAAACTCCAAACGTGTCATTAGCACAGGCCTTTTCGTCGACCTGGCCACCCCCGTGCTCCATCAGCCACGAGGCCAGGCTTGAAGCTCCGATTGGAGCCTAAGGGCCAGTGGGAGGGGGGCAGGGGCAGTCCAGCATTGGATCCTGTGGCTTCAAAAGGTTTGCGGGTCTAGATTGAAGCCCTGCCCACGCACGATACTCGTCGAGTGCCGAAACCGAAGTTCCCAGTGGTTAGCAACGTGAGACAGTGTTTGCTCCATGTGCCTGCATTCTGCCGTGCTTTCGTCGTTATCCGGGGATGATGGATCGGACGGGGCGTTGCCGTGTGCTTCTGTTTACGAGTAGCGGTTTAAGAAGTGACACGCGAGGCGCTTTGCGTGCTGGCGTGCCAGTCTTGGCTGGCTCGGCTTCTTGTGCCGAGCTTCAATGCCCGAGTGGCTGCGTGGACCGGGATTGGAAGGAAGCTCTCCTTTGCAACGGACCCTGCGGCTCCGAAGATGTGCAGCGCTGCTGCACGTGCAACTCCGAGCCAAGCTCGGGCAGCTCAGGGAGCGACGCGTCCTTGGATCTGCAGCCCTGCTTCTCCTGCGAGGTGGGAGCAGCAGGAAGCAGCCCAAGTGGTGCAGAAATCCAGGAAAGCTGTCGGGGCAGCCGGGCCTACGTCTTTGCCAAGTTCACGGGCGAAAAGTTGGTGGTGCGGCATGACGTGGTACTCCCAAGCTCCACATCCTTTGCAGATGCGCTCCAGGGCTCCACGGGCCGCGCTGCCTCCGTTTTGTCCGGGATTTCGCTTCGCAGGTCCAAGCTGGGCTCCCGAGGCTTCTTTGGGCTGTATTGCCCGGGATCGGCAGATGACGACTGTCAGATGTGGCAGGTTGGTCTTGAGGCCAATCTTTCTGACTGGGAGGGCTTCGGAGCTTCTCCGCTGGGCGGCGCAGCGACGGCTGCTGCTGCAGAGGGAGACGTCTTTGCGATTTACAAGGCCCCTGGCGTGAAAATCAACACAGGGCAGCGTCGAGAGGGAGTGCACATGTTTGCAATGTTTTGATGTTTTGCGTGGCCTAAAGAAGGTTTCAGGATTTCAGGGGCCCAGTGATGCGGTGCTAAGAGGCGGCACATCATGTCTTGCCGTGCAGGTCCCGCATCATGAAAGACTATGGGAATGCCCAAAGGGGCAAGCGGCTGATTGCGGCGATGGCATGGTCTCGGGATCAGAAGAGTGCGATGCTGGGAAAGATATAGCGGGCTGCAGCAAGTGCAATGTCTTACCGGGCTGGAGCTGTGACTCTACTGGTTCCTGTTCGCCTCTCTGTGGGGACGGCAAAGTGGAGGGCAATGAGATCTGTGATGACGGCACAGACAATCCTTGGGGCGGATGCAGCAATGATTGTCAATATCGCACACATCTTAGCTACTCGACTCTTCTGACAGACATTGGGGGTGAAATGCATTAGCACCGCTGGTCCATGCTACAGTAGCCCCAAGGGTTGTTTGCGGTTTTCTTGCGCCACTTCTTGCCTGTGCCATGAGGATGCAGCTGTCTCTTGTGAAGATGTCTTTTCACTTGCGCATGCCCACAGTGCGCACCACCCCCGTCCAGATATATCGAAAAGCCTGCTTCACGTGGTTGCAGATCTGCTGAGGCGAAAACTTGTACTCTGAACTCAAGTTGTCATGCTCTCAGGCTATGTCAGCTATTCCAACAGTTGCTTTGGAGAGGATGTCGGGTCGCAGCAGACACGCATCCAAGTTGACGCCGCCAGTCCCGACGCTTGCAAAGAGAGCTGCTCAACAAACCAGGATTGCACAGCATGCCGCTGAGCCCGCAATTTGCATGGGTTAGACAGGTTTTGAGTCTGTAGGGTCCTTGAAAGAAATCCTTGCAACTTGCCCCAGCACACAAGACAAGGTGAGTTCTTCCCATCCGGATGGAAGGGGAAGCACTGCTATCACTTCATGGGTAAGATTATTTCCAGTCTTGGGTCAGGGCCAAAGTGGAACTCAGCACAGTGCTTCGTGAAGGTCAAGTATGCGCTCTTCACGGAAGGTGGGGGGTCCTTCTCTTGCCGCTGCCGATTGCACAGATGTTAAGTGCTCCTCCCAAGAACTGGTATTCTATCAAGCAGCTATTTGGACTAACAATCTCTCGGTATGCTGTCTCACTGCGGGTAGACTCCACGATGCTGGAACACAGTCCAGATTCTAGTTAGCCATGTTGCCCAAGTGTTTCTAGTCCTGGGGCATGCGGGAGCGCCGAAGTGTGAGGTTCCAGGTATGTTTGGAGCTATAACCAAGTGCCCATCACATCGCATGAACATCAGATTCAAGCAAGTCGTCTTCAAACCGGATGTCATCTCCACAGTGCACTAGTCTCACGATCGGGCACGCTTAACTTGCATGTATCAGACTACGGCCGAGGATACTCACGAGTTCCTCTAAGCCCTAAACCCGGAGGGAGTTGTATAGGTTGTGTAGACTGTTCATAGGCTCCTGACGGAGATTGACCATGGTTTTTTCATAAGGTTAACCCTATAAGCCCTAAACCCGAAACCCTAAGACGAAGACCAGGCGTGGAGTCCTTGTCCACCGCGGGAGCCTTGGCGAACTTCTGCGAGAAGAAAGGCTTCGAGCCCGTCTCTGTCAGCGCCGAAGAGGCATCTCCACAGGTTATTGGAGTTTTTGCCTTCCTAGAAGTGATCGAAAAGGGATCTAGAAGTCGAGAAAAGGGTATATAAGGGATCCGTAAGTCTATACGGGTTCTAGAAAAAAGGTTTTGGAGTTCCCTAGGGTCTTATCGCTTGGGGTCTCGCGGTCGTAGGGCTGAGGTCTGCGGGGATTCACGGCTTTGGGGTTTTGAGGCTTTCAGGCGTTACGGCTTTGTTGCCAGCACCTCAGAACCCTAAACCCCAAACGCCCTAAACCCTGAAACCCTGAAACCCTAAAACTTAAACCCTTAACCCGAACACCCTGAAACTTAAACCCTAAACCCTAGAACCCGAAACCAATTGACAGGTAAGAGTCATCGAGCAGTCCCTGAAGGAGCTTGGCCGCCCGGCAAACTGAGCTGTGGAGTGTGTCCGCAGACAAAGAAGAGGATTGTAACATAGGTAGAGGCTCCTTTTCAGGGTTCCTTCAAGGGATCTATAAGGGCTTCTAGAAGAGCACTTTTAGGGTAGTTTTCTAAATTAGGGTCCCTTGTAGGATCCTTTTCATCAGAGTGCTGTCGTATGGGTTCAAAAGAGGCCCTAATTTAAAGAACTACCCATAAAGCTTAGAATGAATACGAAAATGATTCCTTAGGGCTCCTTATAATATACTCCAACAAAAAACCCTATTCCAGCTGTAGCCGACTCTTGACTGCTTCCCGGAGAGGGTTTCATCTTAGCGCGGTCACAGCTGCAGGTCAACCAGTCAAAGACAACCGTGGAGTGCCCATTGCTTGGGCCAGCAACGGCGGAGACGACTTCTACGATCTTGCAGCTTGGGCAAAGTAGCATCAACTTAACATCGTCTTTGCCCAGCTTTGCTTTAGCGGACGAGCCGCGGAACAGAGCCCATTTCCGCAAACACCAGATGCAGCCGCTCTAAAGCCCCATGCGAAACTCCTTGAAATCTCACCCCCACCTCCAGACACGAACTGAGACCGATCCATCCCACAAAGTGAGCAAGGCCGTTGGATCGGCTGCTTTCTATTGATTTCAGCAAGATGTTCGGTGTTTTGTTCAGCCAGCACAATATGTTGATTCTTCTTTTGCATGGGGAATATGGCATTCTGTGAACCGCAGTGTCAACTTGTGACAGATTGATCGGGAAGTTGCTGTTGCATGTCTCTCTGTGTTTCTGTGTTTGAATGCGAAGAGTCTTGGTGGACAAGTGAAATCAAGCTTGAATTAGGTCAGCAGGCCCCAGTAGTCTCATGGCAGGCTGCGGGCGATGGACCGGTTGTCGGGTTTGACTCGTCTGGCAAGCTGAAACGGTGGGAAGCCAATCGATCTCCATCAGGCGGCTGCTCTATTTGAGAGCACGGTTTGGAGATGTTTGGAGGTTGTCAGGTCTGTGCATACAATCCCGAGCAAGTGCACAGGTGTGCTTTGCGAAGAGAGATCGGTATTTACAACGACCACAACGACGACTTCCACAACGACGACTTCCACAACAACGACCGTTGTTTCTTGGCTCCATACAGCGAAGGCGGCATCTGGAAGGGTGTAACCGGCTGTTGATCGAGTACGGGTAGGCAGGCCTCCGAACGATTTTTCACCAGATAGCTTTCGCTATTGGAGGTTCTAGCTAAATAAGGGTCGCGCTGTGTCCACCGCCGCCCAAGGGGGTGCGGCGGCATGCAGGCGGCTTGCAGGTGGGGCCCGCCGTGTCCGCCACCAGCGAAGGGGGTGCAGTCAGGTGGGGCGTTCTGTGGGTGCAGGCGTGTAGGTGGGGCGCGCCGGCATGCAGTCGGCATGCAGGTGGGGCGCTTTGTGTCCACCGCCACCGCAGGGGGTGCAGCGCATGCAATGGAGTCGGCACGCAGTTGGGCCGAACCACATTTACACTTCCGTCGAAATTGATCAATGGTGCTCTCGGTTGAGGGGTTCGGTGTTGGTGTCCTTACTCGCATGCACTCATGACAACATGATCAAGCACTGCACAACCACTCAAGACTGTCACAACTGCAAGCTCACAAAAGTCTGAATCAAAAAACTGTCAGGTGTTTCGACCTGGCAAGCGGAGATCCGGTAGGAGATCTCGATCGTTGCGGAGAGAAAGACGTAGATCGCAACGATACTGTTGGTGCCTGTCTAGCCGGGCGGGGAGGCGGATGAATATCCACCCCATGAACACTGGTCGTCTCGGAGCAGATGGCAGCTCAGTTGGCGCTGATCTGAAAAAGAATTGAGAGCACGGGAACGAATTCATGGCTCTGATGCACTGGAATCACAAGTTGCAGAGTCGTAGTCACTTGTTGTAGAGTCGTAGTCGCTTGTTGTAGAGTCGTACACACAAGGAGTCACATGTTGTAGAATCGTAGACACGAGTAGTCACTTGTTGTTGATTAGTGGATGTCGCACTTAAGAGCACAACTAGACATTATCCCGACATTTTTCAGCATTGCTGTAAGATCGACGTTAGGAGTGTGGTTGCACCCGAAAGCGAGTATTCCTTCGTCTGGCCACCGAGCTCTTTCAATCTGGGATCTTAGAGCTGGAGCCTCACGACCGGCACTTTGTCAGAAAACCAACCGAAGTACACGCCTCGATTGGCCGAAGCCAAAAACATGGGTCAGTACGTATTCCTGCACTCGTAGCCGACTGTCTGCACTCTGGAAATCGGCTTCAGTCCGCTTTGTGCATGCAGGTATGCTGGGATGATCAGTCTCAGTATCCTGAGGTCACATAAAGAGCTTCGTTGGGCAGAGCTCCATGGGCCTCCTCTGCCCCCCTTATTTTCCGACATGCATGCATAAGTCACTGCCCTTAGCTTCAGGGATTTACACACACACACACACACACACGCACACACACACTCAGAGACCCGCACGCCCGCCGGCACGCCCGCACGCCCGCCGCCCCTGCCAACCCTCAGATTGCAAGGTGGCCACAAAGTCATGGGATTCGCAGCGTGCGGGCTACATGAAGCTTGAAGGCAGGAGTAGGAAGCTCCCTAAATTCTTTGGGCTTCGGGATTAAGTTGTAGTGCTATCAACCCCTTTGTAGGATCAGGGCCCCCAAGCCCAAGAGCATGAGCAGAAGTTTAGGGGAAGTGCTCCTAGAGAAGCCCAGCTTTGTGACCCTAAAACTTTAATCCCTAAATCCTAAACCCCGAATTCCCAGATCCCAAGTCCTAAACCAGACTCCGAACTTTACGCCCAACAATCCGCTAAATCCCTGGGATGCTTCAAGGACTTCCAGTCTGGATGCAAACCCCCGAGGCATAAACTCCTAAACGTATGCAGTTCTCATATTGCTCCAAGGCCACGCTCAGACAGAACGCCATACAAGGTCCAACTTTTACGGCACCGAGATAGCCAACTTGACCCTAAGCACCTTGAGCCCCTGAATCCACAATCCTAAACCCCAGATCTTTACCTCCCCTACAGCAGCCGATCTGGGAGGGTGCTAGGGGGCGCAAAGAAGGGTGATGGAACGGGGCCCATAAGGATGTCTGTTTCGCAGGGTTCGAACGAGCATGTAAATGAGGACTTGGGGTTTTCGAATCTGCTTGAGGTTCGATCGAGGAGCTTCATCTCGATAAATTTGTAATTTAGGGTTGAGGTTTCACGATTGATGGCCCTGAACCCCAAACCTTTTTCGTGGGGAAGGTGGACTGCCTCGAGAAGTCTTGTCAGCGGACGCAATCTCGGTGGACCCTTGCTCGCATTTTGCCGGACTTTTCGTGGCTGTGACAGAAATCTTTGTGGTTGTTTAGGGTTTAGAGTTAAGCCTGGTTTGTTGGCGGGGGGGGGGGGGTTCTTGGGGGTTCAGCTGAACCTTGTCTACAACCCCACAGCGCCGCTGAGGAAATCATGTTCAAGTTGAAAGAGATGCCAAACATTGACCATGCACTGAGCCTGTCTTTTTTCTTTCAGAAGTACCGTTCATCTGTTGGATTGGGGCTTAGGGTTTCGTCTTTGTATGCTACCAGTATGGTTTAGTTTTTATTGAAGGTCAAACTTTCGTAGCGAGGCAGATTTCCGGTTGCTACAAGCCCTAAATTTTCAGCCCTAGGATCTTCGGCACGACCGACAAAACTTCGCCGAGTCAACTCAACCAGTTCCTCGTCACTGTGCGCTCCCATTGGTGCGAGCCGAATTTAATCTTCCTTGGCAACGGCTTCTACCATCAAATGACCGGTGCAAATCCGCAACTGGGATCTTGGCTGGCATCCTTTTCGTAGGGCCTTAGGGCTGAATCAGAGTTGAAGGCACCGGGTTCATAGCAGTTCCTTTCCAAGTTTGCGCTCATGGCTTCAAGAGCCCACGAAACCCACAACCCTAATCCCAAACCCGTTGAGGAGGCGGGACGGGGTGTGCGACAACAAGTGGCATCGCCTTGTGGTGACGATCAAGCGGAGCTCCAGGGAGGCTCAAACTTCTTGGAGCACGGTTTAAGGTTCCGGGCTTGTTGGTTCAGATTAACTGTCGTAGAGGTTAGTACGACACAAGAGCACTACCCCAAGTGGAACTTGAAACTCTGCGCACCTTCACCGGGAACCCCCTAAGCCCCAAACGCGCTTCCTTCTCCCGTTGTTTATTTGTTTTGCTCAGGCCTACCTCTATGTCGATGGGCGAATTGTGGCGCAGAACCGGCACATGAACAACGTAGGTCGGGCGTCGCACGCAAGCCCTTCGCTTGGGGTGCTTAGTCTTCCAAAGCCTTAGGTTTTCTAAACACCTTAAACCCTAAGCTGCCAAACAGGGGGGACTACCAAGTTCCACGACGGTTTCATCGTGGGCACCGGCAGCAAAGACTGTGGGCACCTGGGAGCTGAGCTCCGAAGTCTCGTTTTTTTTTCTTTGTTTTCCATATGTTTTTCTTGGGGTGCAAAGTCTTTAATTCTAGGTACCTTCCTTGCACCCGGAACCCTCAATCCCCTAGACCACCCCCCCCCAACACAAGAGACAGCGCAGGGTATGGTGCAGAGGCCAGCCGGGCTTTCGTCAGAAAGTTCCTTGCAGCAACAAGATTCGTCCAGGTTGCAGACTTTGCTTGGGCTCTACCGTGCACCCCAAACCCCTAAACCCGGGCACTTGTAACCCCCACCCCTCCGGAGGTTTGGGTGGTTCTCTTCCTTCTTTATTCCTTCGGATGGGTGTAAGGCTTTGGGGGTAGGGTCTAACGGTCTAAGCCTAAGATCTAGGGCTGAGGGAGGAAGATTCTGGAGTTCTCTAAAAGAAAGGCTCAGTTTGCCCACCTGCTCTTCTACACCAGAGCCCTGACGAAAGATGAAGCTGGGCTGAGTGTCCCGTGCAAGCAGGAGGCCTGGCACAGCACAGCTCCACGAACATAGTGCATGCTCATTTTGTATAGATATGTATACAAAGAGAGAGCATCCCATTAAACAGTATACTGTACACAGTAGTACGCACGCAGCACCCTGCAATCGTTTACGTGGTAAGTGCCTGAAGCCCTGACATGTAAGAGTCGGCTTGGTCTTAGGTCTACATCTGAGACAGTAAACTATGGCACATAGTTAATGCCATCATACGATGAACATAAGCCTTGAACCTGAAACTCGAAAGAGACCCCAGAACAGCGAAGTCAAGACATGCTTGCAAACAGGACGATCTGGCGGCCATCTATGAGTTCCACGGGGAGTACGCAGCCAGCGTTGGTTCCGAGAAGGCTTTCACAAACGTGAAGGCCGGCGGGCCCTAAACCCAGAACGTCAAATTTCTTTCGGGTTTTGGGTTTCATTAGGGTTGAAGCTCCATGAAGCTCCATGGCAACGAAAGCTGGCAGCAACGGCAACCCTAGGATATATATGTACAAAGCACTTGCGGTACCTGGTATCGTTGAACATCGACCTTTTTCTTGGTGCTGTTGAATCTCTTATTTTTCATTAGTACTAGTATGTGCTGCTACTTCGACTCCGACTAAGACGATTACCTCCTTCTCCTCCTACTGCTGCTGCTACTATTACTGCTGCTGCTGCTGCTGCTGCTCCTGCTCCTACTACTACTACTACTACTACTACTACTACGACGGTCCATTCACTTCGTTTGCCGCGCCAACGGCGCTGCACACGAGTGCTTCGGGATGTGCTTCAGAGCAACATACAGAGGGTGGTCATGTTAAAACTGTGTTTTTGCCTGGGTTTTAAGCACATTCTGGGTCTTTGCAGGAATATGTCAAGAAGTGTGAATGTTCGGTTTGCTTTGGAAGAGAGGTTGTTTTCTGCGTCGTTTTTTTTCACGATTTTTTTTCTGAAATCGGTAAAAACCTCAAGGTTTTGCTGTTCCGTGCTTACCGAAATGCGGCCTTTTTTTTAGTCCGCCATCACGAAAGTACTATAAATACCGAGTAAAACGGCTGAAGAAGCAAGGTTAACACCAGGCGCCTGGAGGCGCGCTTAGGTACTATAATACTACTACTACTACTACTACTACTACTACTGCTACTGCTACTGCTACTGCTACAACTGCAACAACAACCAACAACAGAAACAACAA